TGAGGTTGCTGTGAGCTAGGCTGACGCCACGGCACTCACTCTAGCCCGGGCAACACAGTGAGACTCTGTCTCAAAAAAAAAAAAAAAGAATGTACACAGAATCTTCCCACAAAATAGTAACTTTACAATGGAGAAACCTGGCAGATACCACTTTAACCAATTATTGATATTAATATCATCCAAAATAAAACATATCAACACCAAGTACTCCCTGATGATGCACTGAGAAAAACATAACATCATTTCTGTGGTATTCTTGCCAAATACGTATAACCTCAATACAGTCAGGAGAAAACATCACACAAAACCAAATTAGGGTACACTGTACAAAATAACTAACCAGTACTATCCCAAAGTGACAAGGCCATGAAAGACAAAGACTGAGGAATTCTCACAGATTTGAGGAGACTAAGAAAAATAACAACGAAGGAAACAAGACCCTCATATGCAATACAGGATCCTGAATTGGCCTGGACCACAAAAAGAACATGTGGATTAGTTAACAACATTGTGTCAATGTTCATTCTTTGGCTTTGACAGTTGTATTGTGGTTACATAAAATGTTAATACCAGGGAAGCTAAGTGAAGGGTTTATGCATAGAGACTGTACTATTTTGTAACTCCTCTAGAAGTCTAAAATTATTGCAAAATAAAAATAAAAAAGGATGTACCAAAATGCAAGTACCTGAAGCTGACTGCGATTCTTCTCTGTAAGAAAATCTACTTGAAGATCATGTAAATAATAATGAAATGATTTTCCATTCCGATCACAAAATAAAAGAGACTTATTAACAAACTCCTGCAGTATGTCTTCAACTTCTTCAGTTTCCATGTCCCAGAGAATACATAACACCTAGGAATCATTATAAGCAATTAATGTGCCTAGAAGTACAATAACTGGGACTGTAGACAAGTTGTTAACATAAAAAACCATACTGTAAAGACCTTTATAAGAACATCAACATTTCATAAGAAAAAGCCCAACTATTCCTCAAGATAGAAAAGAGAAAGAAAAGTTGGATGCTTCTCCAACTTCACTAGAACCACCGAGAAATAGGCAACTCATGAGTTCAACACAGAGCCCTTAATGAGAGCAGATGGACTTCTCCACCCTTCACCCACCACCTCAATCCTATGGGTCTCATCCTTCCACTGTCTGTCCTCTGTAACAATATCCTCAGCACTATCTCAAAGCTTATATGCCATAAATATCCAATGACGAGAACTGTTGGTTCATCTATTACCTTTGTAGGCACCTTAACATCCTTCTGAAGGATGGAAAGATCTGTATAATAATCTTTGATGTCTTCTCTGAGCATTTCCACACTTATAGACATGGCTTCATCCAGAGCCTCATAATCATAAGATGAAGATTTCCTTATTCTCTTAAATTGCTTATTCTGAAGTTGTCTGAGGTAGTAATCCCAGCGATTGGGAAAATCACGTAAAAGCGCACCAATTAAAGATACAACAAGGGGAGAACCTAAAAAAAAAAAAAAAAAAAATGAAGTCATCACTGTATTAATACCATCTTATTTTAAAAATCACCACTAAGAATCAACTTATTCATAAGAAACAATTTCCACTGCACGTTATCTAAAGCCTTAAAATATTTGTAACTCTTGGGTTCACTTCTAGGTATTTATTCTTTACAAAAGGCATTAGAAATAAGATTTCATTTAAGGATTCATCACAGAATTATTTACAATAGTCAAAAATCTTAAACATTGTAAACGATGTCCAATAAAACTGGTTGATTAAAGTATAGCACATATATATATTATGCTACAAGTGAATTTTTTTCAAAAGATATTTAACATAGAAAATACTCAAGATACATAAAACGGACAAGATTCAAAACTATGTATACCATTATAATCTCAATTTTTTTTAAGTTTTATACGTCCTAAAAGACTGGAAGACATACTCTCATGATGCTAATAATTATCAGATTATGAATAATTTCTATTTTTTCTTTATAGTTTCACACATTTTCAAATGTTTCAAAATGTACACATATTTTTTCTAAGTTTAAGATTTTTTTAAAAGCAAACTCAGACCAAGTATCTATTTGATGGCAGAAAGAAAAATAAGGTATTTCCAAACATAACAA